ATAAATATATATTTGTTTAAATCTTGTCAGTCTAATCACAATAAAATTCCTATTAAATATTAAAATATTATTATAATTAACATTTAAATGTTAATTATAATAATATTTTAATATTTAATAGGAATTTTATTGTGATTAGACTGACAAGATTTAAACAAATATATATTTATCACAATATGACGCAACTTTATCATCTCAAGAATCTATCAGATAAAATGAGTTGTTAGCCAACTAGTTGAGGCTTACGCTCGCCGTGAGCGCCTGACTGGCTGGATGGAGCTGGCTAACGATGCATTTTATGTGATCGGTTCTGCTGTGTTATTCCAGTTTATTGGATATTACTGAACTGCGGAAGTAAAATACGAGACCTTTTTACTTTTAATCTTTAAAAGTGTTAGTCGGGCTGATAGGCTAATACGGTTATCGTGAATGCCCCTGCCATGTGTAATTTTTATTTGCTTCATTAAAGTTTTAGGGCCACTGTATATAAATGTTTAAAATGAAAGGTATATACTTTAAAACTTTATAAATAGGATTTCTGTTAGAAATTACAGTATGTGCGTTATATTCAGTTTAATTTCTCTGTCGAAGGATTTTTTATGATCACCTGAAGAAGAAAGGACTAAAAGATGTAATAAGTTCCCCTCATAGAAATAATAATTGAAATTTTTAGGGGTCTAGCCGTTTACACTCAGTTCTCTGACTCAGACACTGCATTTCTCTCTCCAAACAAATCTTTGGCTCTGTGTGACATGCTCGCTATTTAAACACGTCCATTTTGAAGCCGTCTTTGAGAGAACTTTCCACCACTGACATCCATCTAGCTAGCAGGCAAGGAAACAATGAGAAGATCCCGAATAATAGATTTGTCAAAGTTAAGTGAGCTGATGAATAGACAGAGGACGAAATGTTCATTCAAACAGATAGCGTCTCTGAATCTATCTGACCCAACTGTTGGTCTTACATTTCATTGCAGTATTTTCACACCATTGAGCAAAGAATTAATTGCTCTGTTCTTACAAGAATCTCAATTATCAAGTATATCCCAATTAAAATTATAGTCAACGGATACACGTCACTATCAAATGTTTTATTTTTAGAGCCACTGACATTTGCAGAGTGGGAAATCTCTCCGGTGTTACTGAATCCCTCTCTAGAGAGGACGAGCACACATGCGTGGGTCTCGCCATTTATGGCTCCAGGGCAGGGTAATTTCCCGTCCTGTAGTTAGCCTGGAGAGACAGTTTCAGCGTTTGCAGTAGACGGGGAATCGACATGTGTTATGGACATAAACCGAATTGAAATCGTTAAATATTAAATCGCCTCGAGGTATGATAGACTGGGGTTGAGGTTAAAAGAATAGTATTTGGGATAAATTTTCGAGTGCAAAGACTGGACACAATTATTCTAATTTGTGGACTTTCCTCAAGGATCTCCTTGCCTTTAATTCTTTGGGTTTTGGTGTTTCCTTTTCCATCTTCTGCCTTCACTCCGAAACCAACTGAGTGCCGAGTCAGAAATGAAGCTCATAATTTGCTATCGAGGCAATCGTGAATGCTCTGTTCTGCATAGAATTACGCCTTCGGCGATACAAAAGAAATGTTTTACTATGTAACATAACAGCAATTTTATGTTATTATATTATATATTTTTTTTCATTCTTATGCTGATTGTTAGCTGCTTTACGTGTTCAGTTGTGGCGTTAAAATGAAATAAAGAATTATTATTTTATTATTATTGTTAAAATAAATTTCGCACTGTTATTTGGAGTGCATTTCTGCACGACATAATTATAAAATTTCAGTTTTTACCTCGAAAAAAAAAAAGTGTCTCCATTACAAATATCAATTCGTTAATTCCGTTTAAGGAAATAATGACTGCTTACTCGACCCTAAGAATTATACGATACTCATACATTTTGTGGGTAAATTACTGAGTTGTATATTGTAAGATTTGAGGTTTTCACGACGTTAAGTTTGAAGATGGATGTCTTCTGTGTTGTTGCGCCGTGTGGTCTGGTCACGGTTGATGATAGAGGCAGCAAGGACCTCTGAAACGTCGGTAAACTTCTACACGGCGCAACAACCCAGCAGACAGCCATCATCTGAGTTACCTATTTTTAAAACATGTGGTACGTGTGGTATCAGTGGACTTTAAAGGTTGGTCAAATCTAAAACCTCTTGACGATGGTGAAGAGTCAATTGAATAAAAATTTCCTTGGATATTATCCATCTTCTAGTAAATATAAAACGTAAAACGACGTTTCGGAGATGGGATTAGCTCTATATAGTGGGCCCAACTGTGTAGGAACCTGAAGACGGAGATAGAGTCCCATCTCCGAAACGTCGTTTTACGTTTTATATTTACTAGACGATGGATAATATCCAAGGAAATTTTTATTCAATTTAAAGGTTGGAATAAAACAAAATTGCCAGTATTTAAAGAAACTTAAAATAGTTCTTTCTTTGAACTCTTGAGGGTCTTGAATGGTGGGATCATGAGTTCTAATCCCACTCGAGCTAGCTTTTCTGTGTTCTGCTGCTTGAAGCGTCTTGAGAAACAGCTCTGAATGCGGTGTGCTCACTCATAAAACAGGCGTATATCCTGCCCAACCTCTTTTCCCCTTGGCTTCAGAGCAACGAAACATTTTCAGCGCCTTGCGGTGGTACTTACGTAGAGGAAGGCTGAAATTCTCTTCCACACAAAGACCTCGGATATGAAAATATCACGGCAACTCGGCGTTTCAATTGAGTATGGACGCAGCCATGCAATAGACGTGGTTTATTTAAGGTCTCGCCCAGTTCTTGCTGGTGTGACTGAGGAAAACGACAATCTGGGGAATATCGCACTTCATACTTATGTTTTAATTATTTTTTCATATTGATTGTGTCAGTATGGCAGCCGTGAGCCATCTAAGTTTGGGAGCAGTAATGATGGCTTTAAGAGCCAAGAATTTTTTTTCATGACAAATTTTGTAAAAAATAAATGGGATTTACGTAAAATGTAAAAAAAAACAATATTATTATAAGCGCCTAAAAAAAATAGTATTTACTTGTTCGTGCAATGGCTGAACTGATCAACTGGTGATACTATGGTTTGAAATCTGGTATAAAGTTGAACTTAAATTATAAATTACTTATAACATTTGGGTGCATTTTATGCTACAATTTATAACATGGTGGTGAGATAGAGGAAATATACGCTGGCTCTGATCATTTACAGAAATCGACTAATATAGTCTGCTGTACTTTAGACAAAGATGAAAGCATTTGCAAGAACGTAAAGTTATAAATTCTTTATAGCGATTTTATACACAGGCTAGCTTTTCTCCAAGTCTGTTCGTTAATTGACTGGAACGCAACGAGAAAGAGTGACTGGATTTGGTTCGCTCAGACAAGAGTTAATACAAGAATACGAAGTGTATAATTTCATTAAATAATTTCGAGTTCGTATCGGAAAATGTATTTCAGACAGTCTCAATAAAGTTAGACGACCTTAACATAATTCTTGCGAAGATTCAGAAAGGGGATTGCTGTCTTGTATTAAATTTGCAGTTCTTGTCAAAAATAAAGTTACGTATTCAAGTTGACAATTATCGTAGATCTACACAATAATTTCATGGAAAATTAGATAGCTGTCTTCTGGGTTGTTGCGCTGTGTAGTCTGGTCGATGTTTACCAACGTTTCAGAGGTCCATGCGGCCTCCATCGTCAGGACATCAGGACATGTTTCTTATCGTAAACATAGTATCATAAAAACCGTTGCCAACATTGACCCAGAAACAGTGGTTGCTTCTGTTCCAGAAGATCGTGGACATTTTTTGCATCTATTGAAAATCTGTGATGTAATTTCTTCCTAACTCGTTTGTCTTGATATATTTATATCGGCGAAGTTTATGTATACTGTTTTAGTTGAAGTTGCGTTTTAAATGTATCACGCTGTATATAAATTACAAAGCGGAATACGCTGTATATGAATTTAAAAATGTGTTTCTCTTTAGTTCCCTGGACACTGATCATACCTGATATCCTCTTACCACTCGTAGTTCCGGTACCTAACAGGTTTTTGGTGGCACTGCACTGGGTATTTGTTCACTGAGAACTTGAAATATTGTTGCTGTCTGTTCTGTAGACGGTGTCCGTGGCTGTGTCCGTGCTTACCCTCACCTTCATCTCCGTGGACCGCTGGTACGCCATCTGCTTCCCGCTCAAGTTCAAGTCCACGACTGGCCGGGCAAAGACAGCCATCATTATCATCTGGCTTCTCGCCTTGGCTTTCGGTGAGTTTCATAGCAGCAAGGGAAACGGGCCGAAACACACACAAACCAATTCTAACAAAAATCCACTGACTACTTAAAGCTGAATCTAGTCTGAATAATATTGAGGAATCCCTGTCCGTACCGCAAAGGAAACACGGCACTTCACCATTTATTAATGCAGTTTAAGGAAACGATCGCTGTTTATTTTCAGAATCATGTGAAACCAATAAATAATACACATTTGCTTATTATTAAAGCAGGTGGTATATGGTTTTTTGGAGATGAACCATTCGGGCGGATAGAAAACTCCATAATGTGTGTCTATCGAGCGACACAAATGTTCGAAACACCCAGTGTAAAGTACGGTAAAAGCGAGCATCTCACTCATTGTGCAATTATTTGGTTTTCCGTATTTATTTAGCTGTCTTTAGTGCTGGTTGACGGAGTTTTACAAAATTTGATATGAAAGCCACTCAGTTTCAGGTCACCTCATTCTCATGTTTTTTAATTTCCTCCTGCAATCAGTAACAACAACATGGCAGGTGCGCGAACTTTTTGAAAGGGAGCTACACTAGCACCGCTCTATACAGCTTCCACAAATGATACATGGTGATATGCTTCTTTTGTTAAAGATTGTTTCTTAAATGGAAAATGATACAGCTGGATTGTGGCATGTATATAGTCCCTAAATATGTTACAATTACGGCAGCTGTGCGAAATTTAGAAGTTTTATGTAACAGATTTAAGATAGATCGAATCTGTATTTAATTAAGACCTTCCCAAATATCATATTGTAATTGCAGTAATAATAATAATAATTTATATTTTCACCTGGTCTGCAAATAGTCGAGTTATGACAGCCAGAATCTGTTTGTGAGCCACCCAAACAATTTGTTTACAATAATATTTATAATAGTAATATCTTCCGTAACATCTGCAAGCTTTAATAAGTTAAGTATGACCCGAAATTTGTTCAGTGGTATGACCGTCAAAGTTTGAGAACATTTTGCTAACCAATGAGTTGCTGTCTTATTAACTTATTGGATTATCAACTTTAATTGCCTAAACATAACATTAAGAGCACAAAGTTTCTAGAATTATAAATCTGTGCTTTAAAAGTCGGGCATTCTCAGTTATAATCGAAGATCTTGTTTTATTTAGTTCTGTAGGAACATTTATTTCGCATTTTAGTTGCGTTTCTGAACACAAAGGAGAGACATTTTTGTTAGCGGAAGAGAGAAGCCCATTTTCGCTAACGTGATTATAAGGCAAGGCCTTGTTTTATTAGAAGCAGAATCATAACTGTGTTAGCAGGGCGCATGCGTAAATTGACGCAGGCGTCATCACACCCACATAACCATGTTTGAACATACCCTGACCATACGTTTATGATTGCTGCTGAATGTTAATGAATCTGTAATGTTTGACTATTTTTATTTTATAGGGCAACTATGTACCTGCCATTTGACATTTCGTAAATATATAAATAAATAAATTTTATAGGGTAAAATTGATTTGAATATGAAAAAGATTTTATTTCGAATTTTTTTTAAAATATGACACGTCTAGGAAGTCCTGGGCGTATGTTTGTGTTATGTGTAATTTTATGGGACCATGTAATTTTGGGCTCACTACAAGGAAGATTCAGGTAAAAATCGATCATGGACAGTTCTAAATAATTCGCCTGTGCGGGAGAAAAGCGTGATAAATACCTTTAATAACAATTGGCCGTTCCTGTCGATATGGAACTATCCGAATGACAATGGAGCGCCACTTCTGTTCTGCACAAACGAAGTTGCGGAATGGATGTAGAGAGAACGAGCTGTATTGTGATCACTTGAACACAGAACGAAACGTAATTGGATGCATATCAGAGATGATCTACGGAAGTGGTTCAGGGTTTTATGTTGAATATCCGGCGCCTTTGCGCGATCTCGCCGAGACTGCAGACTTCAGTGAATAGCTCTTTCAGGAACGTTTCCATAGGGAATAGAACGTAGTTCTGTAACTACTGTGCTGTGTGTTTAGAATGTAATTAGTTGCATCAGAACCCTGTATTTTATACTTACACTATGAATCACTGCTAACCTCTGTCATTCGGATTGTTCGAAGTGTTATAATTATATAGTTATGTGCATTATGTTGTGTCGCTGAGAACGTGTATACAGAATGTTCATTTTTAAACGCTCTACTTATAATATATATATATTCTCTTCTCTTGACACGGTTTTTCAGCAATTCAGAGGAGAACTGAAGGAAACTGTGCCACATTTCGTCCATCGTGTCGTCGCTAAGGACGATATTCCTAAGTTTCCTTACCTTCAGTCTCAAGGAACTTACTAACTGTTGTAACTGTTATTTTGCCACTGACTCGTTCAGAAACGCTGTAGCGCCACCGTGCAGTCTAGTAGATGTTTACCGACGTTTCGGAAGACTCTCATCGCCCTGGTGGTGGAGGCAGCAAGGACCTCTGAAACGTTGGTCAATTTCTGTCAGATTACACGGCGCTACAACCCAAAAGACAGTCATTTTTTACATGTTAAAGGAACGAGAAGTAACTAACTATACTTAGCAGAGTCCTTGAGAAGCTGACAGTACGCTCAGCTCTGCCGACGCCATGTCGTGAAAGCGTCCACGTTTACGGAGTCACACGAGAGACAGATTACGAGCGATCTGGATGCACCCTTAGGTAATACAAAACAAGAAAACATCTAATAAGTTTGTGGCGGAGGGAAAAGATAGTTTCAGGAGGGGGTGGTATGAAACCGTAGCAAATCTCACAGCGTAATACTTGATAGGACGATGATAAAGGCGATGATAAGTTCAAGGAAGCTCCTGCGTCTCCCTGTCTCTTCCATTGACCGGATCATCCAATTCTGGGCTTCGTCCAAGAGAAGCACAAAGTGGTAGACTCAGATGCCTCGAATTTCTCTCGTGCCTCGCGTTCCGTTATGTTGTTGTTTGCGTATCGACCAACTCCTTTACCCATTCAACGAGAAGCCCCTCTGGACGGACTTGAAGCTTGTAACCAAGGAAACCCAGGTTTTAATAAAACTGGTTTGAAATATTCGACCCGCGCTACTGAAATCGAACTGAGTCGGGGTGGGGGTCGGGTGCCTTCCACTTCGTGGTCTTGGGTTTGATCTTTGTGGGCTGATTGTATCTGAATTCTTCATCTTACACAACGTGATCCGGTATGCGCTTAAATTCTACCGCTAACAGTGCAGTCTATAGGATTCCGATTTTGTCGATAAAGCACGGGAAGATTATTACGACCCTCTTCGTCGCCCCCCCCCCTTCCCGGGTCCCGGGCCCTGAAATCTGCATTCTTAAAAAAAAAAGGGTTGTTTAACGCTAGATTTTTTTCACAGGCCTATATTCGTGCATACGTTTGAAGACTTTGAAGATAAATACAGAGACAACCAGAGGGATTTTAGAAAGGTTATTTTTTGTTGCACATCAGATTAACCTCAGAAGACCCCGAAATGTTGTTACTCAGTTCTTAATCTCCCCGATGATGGAAGCAGTAATCTCATCCGAAACGCCCTGCAGGCTACACGGCGCGACATCCCAGAAGACAGCCATCTTCGTACTCGTCACCGTGAGAACCTCAGATCCCACTTGATATCTGCGTGGTTTCAGACACTGCCTCTTGTTTCAGACATCCCAGAGTTGATGGTTCTGCAGACTCGGCCCAGGAAGGAACTGCGCATCGAAACACACTTCTTCACACAGTGTTTGCCCTCGTGGTCCGACCGCTCTGAGATGACAATCCATGTGATGAAGGCGGTGCTGCTGTACACTCTTCCCCTCATATTTATGTCAGTGGCGTACTGTCAGATCGTGAGAGTGCTGTGGCGTTCCGACAACATCCCGGGACACACCGAGACCATGAACTACTATGGTACAGGCGCGTGTAACAACTGTAAGTCCAGCTTAATGCAACTGAACTCACGTGTCCTTAAATTGTGTACTGTAAAAAACATCTGGTCCAATCTGTTTTACTAGCTCATCCCATGTTTTCTGTACTTGTATCCGTTGATATTCATATGCATATTTACAGATGTTAAAAGCCAACATCATTGGCACAAAATGTTTATGGTACCGAAGACCTTGTAGGTTTAAGACTTCTATCGAAACGTCGCTTTCCTTACGTCAATTTAAAACATTAAGATGGCTATGTTCTGGATTATTGCGCCGTGTAGTCTGGAAGAAGTTTACGTGTTTAGTGCTTCCATCATCAGGACGATAATAGAGGCAGCAAGCTTTTTTCTAACGTCGATAACCTTCTACTATACTACACGGCACTACAACTCAGAATACAGCCATCTTTTACAAGTAATTCGTCACTTAGACTTATCATCCTCGACATAAAATAGTTTACGTATATACATGAAATGATATTTTGTTTTTCCAAAAGAAAGTTTCGGAAATTTCTACCCGGAGGATGACCATTCTTCCTGAGGCTTTTTTTTAGTGGTTTTCTTCCGTAATTCCATAAATCCCTTTCCAGTTTGTTATTAATTACCATATCTTCCGATGATATTTATACTGAGATTCTGATCGTATCGTAAAATAAAGTTTAAATAAAATCAAGAAGCCATTCGGTTAGGCAGTGGCTTAGAAATTGTTAGTTAGCAGTGACTGATTCCCCTTCTGAAGGCACTTGATTCGAATCCCAACAGAACACCGCCTATCCTGGCAGCATTAACGTATTCCACGACTGTCGATTTCTTTAACGTCATAATCACATAATCAGTCTTCGTAACTCGAGGAAGTAGAATATCGTGAAGTAACCGAACGGATCGGATTCCATCCAAACTTATTTTTGTAACAAAATATACAGAATTTGGTAGTGTATCGAAAATTTTCCCGTATTTCGGTAATTGTTACATGCATGTGACAGCGTGGCAAAAGTAAGAGATTCTTCTTTAATTTTATATTTTAAACGCACCAAAAATGTAACTGGTGATAATTAAAATTTATTATATACTGAAATAAATAATATATAATGTGTGGCCTACAGAGTGGGTGTGGTCAGGTTGACCCTAGAGGATATTTATCAGTAAAATCCACTAAGCACCAGTAACTGTTGACGAGTGACATCTCGTGAAAATTTTGTACCTCACTGACTTTTTTTAATTTAACGACAGTTTTTAACCACGTGAGTCGAAGGGCAAGATTACTAAGAATTATGAACTGCAGAATTATGGAAAGAATCGATTGCTGTGTATTTTATGATGAAATCTCATTATTTTCTTGCAGGAACTAATAAATGTCACTGTATTTTGTTACCGGGTTGAGATTTGAACCAGAGATCTCCTGAATACAAAGCGTGTCTCATTTCGGTTTTCCTCATTCACGCATCTTTCATATTTTATGATTACGAATGTGACAATTTATTTATTCATTCCTGTTTTAGTTGGAGATTTTAAACTTGATACATTCTTCAAGAACTGAGACATACGTCCATCTTTAGCATTCATTTTAACACTACTAGTGTTATTCGCATTGTCTACGTTGTTCGGTACTGATTTTGATAAACTAATTTTCCGAGTATAAGAGCGAATTTGCATAAGACAAAACTTTCTCCGTTCAGTTTTACCACTCAAGTGTGTCTGATGGTAACTAACTTACTTATGTACTGTTCAGTGTTTCTTAATAAGACCTTCAGAGTAGCTCTGATTTAATTTTGATTAACATAAAGGAAAGACCCTCTCCGGTAGAGTTCATAAAGCGTCGCACATGTGAACTAGGTAATTAAAGGCCACACACATACAGAGTATGGCAACCCCACCCAGTGTCGACAACATTTGAACATGAACGCAACAGAATATCCCTAAAAATGGGGAACTTTAACATCGCTATTTCCGGTGTCAGGGACTTGGCATGATATACGTTCAGTTCTGTTTCGAATTCTGCTACCTATTTGTCTTTAAGATCCGTTTCAGTGCTGCTTTATCGCCTTTACGTTTTTCCTAGTGACCACTTTTCGTCAGCCAGCGAAGATCTCACTTCCCGTTCTCGGTAGCCATTTTTCAAACGCATATATCTGCCGATCTGCAAGTATATGAGTGACCATATTCATGTCGGTTAGAGGTTACTCACATGTCAGCGTCATGTCATAGTCACGACAATGTCAGTATGTGGGTTTTCCGAATAGAAGCTTTTAAATTTCTCAAGGTCAATATTTAAATCGCATATTGCTGCCGATCTATGGAAGCCTGGATGACCATATTGATGTAAGATTGAGGACATGAATAGGTCAACATCGCAGCAAGATCACGAAGAGATCTGTCCAAGATTTTGAGGAATATAGGCCCTTATATATTCCGACCATAATTCAAGAATATTTCTTCTCCCGCTCATATCTACCTAACTCTATTGAAGTGGGTGACCATACACATTTTAGTTTGAAGCCTCTTATAGATTAAATTCATGCTTAAGTTAGGGCAATAACATTCCAAAAGATAGTGCCGCTTTAGTTATGTTATACTGGCTTAGGTTGTGTTTGATTAGGTTAGGTTAGGTTAGGTTTAGGTTGGGTTAGGTTATGTTTACCGTGAGATGTTTTAGGTTATGTTTGGGTAAGGTAAGGTTGGGTTGTTCGCGTTAGGTTAGACAATATTGTGTTGTTTTACTATGGGTTAGGTTGTGTCCTGGAGAATTTCTAGCATGTTCATAAGGTGGTCGTGGGGATGTCCTGGAATGATGCTGGAGAAATTCTGGAAACGTTCTGGAGGAATCCTGAAGAAGTTCCAGAGTAGTGCCGGAGAATTCATGGAGAGGTTATGCGGAAATTCTTTGGTCGTGGATAAGTGCTGGAGAAATCACGGAGAAGTTCTGGATGAGTCCTGGAAGTTTATGTGGAAGTCCTAAAGCGGTGCTGGGTTTGATCTTAATGCGGGTCGGTAGTTTTGGATTCGTCTAAATTTGATTGGGATAAGTTTCATTGAATTACTTTGCGTTGTTTTGGGTTAGGTTAGGTATATCCATTCACTGACGGTTTAATGAACAGGAGAGGCCAACTAGGTCAATGCGATGTTCGCTTTCACATCATGGTCACCGACCATTATTTAAATTAAGATATAAATGTGTTCTTTGTAACAGCGGAATAAATTTTTTTAAATTCTTAAGTCATCCAACTCTTTAGTAGAGACGTATTGTAATCCACGTCCGATTTAGCTCAGACGAACTGTACTTCCTCTTTATACGTAAAAGTCAAGCTGGAGAGGAAATAGTCTGAAGGATGGTCGTAGAAACTGTCCGCTGGCAGGAAATGATAAGTGAACGTACGGGACAGAAGAATAGCGGATCCTTTACCCTTTCAGAGAACTGAAGTACTCGATTGGAAGACGTTCTCGTGTGCTTATGGCTGCCAGTGAAATCGACAGTAACCTGAGGTCATGGAAGAAAGCCATTCTTCAGAAGCTGTAGTCGCATAGAGGCTTTCCAAATTCCCCGCCTTTTATGATCCCTAAAGTTCGCTACAGAAGCTGGACCTTATCTTCACCCAAATGACTCCAGTCCACAATTTTATACATTATTTTTAATACACGTTTTGGTATTATCCTTCCATATACTCCCATGCCTCCCATATGCACACTCTTCGCTTCAGGTTTATAGACCAAAATATTCTACACATTTCTCATCTCTTCCCTGTATCTTGTCAGTCTCTTCCTGGTTAGTATGATCGACTTAATATTGGATGAAGCCTCCAGTTATGACGCTGATCGTTGTGCATTTCTTCCCGGCTTCCTGTTACTAATTTTTCCTTGTGTTCAGACATTCTGAACAGAACACTGTTCTGAAGCTCCCTTTTTATTTTATGATTTTCGAGACCGCGTGTTGAGACAGAGGACGAGAGGAACAAAGATTCTGATTTGAATGGAAGAAAATCGATTTCCGGAGATGACCGTCTTCTGGGTTGTAGCGCCGTATAGACCGGTAGAAGGTTGCCAACGTTTCTGAGGTCCCTGATGCCTCCATCATCAGGGCGACGAGTGATTGAGGCAGCAAGCACCTCTGAAACGTCTGCAAACTTCTACCAGACTACACGTTGTTATAATCCAAAAGATAGCCATCTTTCTACTCGCCTCCATGATAACCTCAAATCCTATTAAGCATTTTCCGAACGTAATTTTCTCATGATTTGTTCGTGAATCGTGTCTTGCAGTGGCTTCCCATAATTTTTGTGTTATTTATCAGTGTTACAGTTTCAACCTTATTCTAGTGACGATATGGGCTTAGGTAACAAGCATCCTTAGGTACACTGAATTACTTGTTGATTCACTGCAGGAAGTAGCCTATATGAGGTATTGTGTGATGTGGTTATTTCACTATTTATCTGTTCATTAACTGCAATATGTACGCAGCGTACAATTATATACTCGTGTGAACATGAATATTGAGGTTCGCGGCTTGATTTATTCCGGTCTGCAAATTCTAGTTATCGTTACATGTGTGCGTGTTCGTACGTGTACGGCAACTACGAGAAATAGTTTCAACTTTCGTCTGTATACTTTTGCTTTGTTTTTGCTTTTTTAAAAATATTTTCTTCTATTTTCTTGTGTGTGTGTTTTTTCGAAAGTTGGACATAAGTTCATAAATTTTAATTTATTTTGTGCGATTTTTAAACTTGAATATAAATGACAAATGTCTTAAAAACGTAAAATTTTCCCTGTATTTCTGACCCAGTTTAAAAGGCTCACAATGTTTTGTCCTATCAATGTGGCTGTATCTTTAAATATGATACTTTTTTCACATCGCTGTACTATTCACGTCGTCTATCACGATTTATAAATTCTAGTACACGTTTAACTTTCTTGACTGGACTGACTACTTACTAAGTACTGAGTAACTTGCAGTTTTTCAACAAGACACAATGTGTTTCATTCGAAACGCGACCCTGTCTGCTGCATATGA